ATGCTCTCGTGGGGGTTTCCAAAGAGTTTAACCCACAACTCTTGGCGACATGCTCAAGACAAACCAAAACAAAGGAGCAAATAAAGAAGAAAATTAACTACAAACAAGCATAGATGGATGACAATCTTTTCTAGGTACTAAGAGTAAACACATTTTTTGGATGCCAATGGTTGATTGAAAGATAAGTTATTCTAAGCATAGAGAACTCTAATATGCTCCACTCCACCCGCATTCCATACATTCTTACCGCGTTCCCTCATCTGGATTCAAATCCACCCTTCAAGGTAGTATCTCATGACTCCACGAAGGACCCGGAACAAATGAAACAAGGGTGACCCGACATCTTACCAAGTCATGCTCTCTCCATATGCTTGAAATCTAGCTCCCTCCACCGACTAGTGACTCAACCAATCCAAGTTAAAAGGACTTAGGGTTGTAATGCAGGCTAGGAGGTAAGGGTGAGGAAAGAAATAAATAAATAAATAAAATAAAATAAAATAAGTATATATGAAAATTTGGTGGTAAATCCTAATTGTGAAGCAGAAGATGTCGCCAATTCTCATAACAAAGTAGAATATCACCAATTTCCAAACAAAATACATCTTCCCCCAAGCTTATTCAGCACAAACTCACAAAAGTATATACAAAATGCGTAGAACCTCTCCCCCAAGCTTGAAATGAGCAGTGCCCTCAATGCTCAAACTATAAACAATTTTTTTTTTTTTTTTTTTTTTTTTTTTTTTTTTTTTTTATGGGGAACTTCCATTGTCCTTGCTTGTTATTTCAAATTCCAAACCATCACCTTGCAACTTTCCGATTTTAAATCATTACAAACTATCATGTCTCAAACTTCACAAGTCATTGGGCGAAAAGTGAAACAAAAGGTCATGGGGTTTGAATGTGTTTATGAACAAAGAGGTGCAGGCTCAATCATGGCTAGCAAGGGGCAAACGTAAAAAGAAAAAAAAAAAAAAATATAATTTATCAAGAAGCAACAAAAGGAAAGATAAACCTAGAAAAGCAAAATAGTCACCGAAGAAAATGCTTTTATCGTCCTTAGATATAGTTCGGTCGCGATCTCGGGTAGCTAGACAACAAGTTCTCGATCGAAGCATGCCTTGGTAAGGATCCTATGCCGCTCATATAATAAGTGGTGGAGGCTTGAACAATAAAATCTGACATGGGTTACAAAACTACCTTTAGGGCTTCAAATCCCCCAAAGAGGGCAACACCATCTTACCACAAACAAGTGAATTTGGGTTCGGTGGGCCTTACGAGTTCTAGCAACTACCTTAGCATAGACATATCTTAGAGTCAACCAATGGCAATCCAAGAACGCGGAAACTGTTAATCCTTAGGAATAAAGACATTCAAGAACGCAAGTCAAATTAATATTTTTTTTTTTTTTTTTTTTTTTTTCGCTATAAACTAATCTACCCTTGACAAAATTTCTAGATCTTCACCAAAATCAACATTACCTCAAAAATCATCAAGCCATAAATACATACCAGCACTGGTGAATCGCCATGTTGGCGAATACCAGTAATCATCATTATCGACAGGGAAAACGGGGGGCGGACTCAGCGGTATCCATCAAACCGAGAGAAGCGTCCCCAAAGCAGCATCATCATCAAAACCATATCAAAAACTCATCAACAGTATTAGTGAACAGGGGCAAAGTCAACCAACGAAAACAGTCATGTAACTCAGTAGAATCAGCAGCATGAAGGTACAGGGAAACAATGAAAGACCGGCAGGCGAGCAAGTAAGAATCCCAACCAAGTCACTCCCTACCAAGAGTATATCTCCAACTCATCAAAATAAGCGTACAAAAACAAGGGAGAGAGATATACTCAAGGACGCAGCCTACTGGCCACTAGAGCCGGGCTCACTAGGTGAGCCAGACCGACGTGGCGGCTCGTCATAAGTGAAGCCACTAGGGGGGCCGAAAAGGCCCCAACCACTGTCAAAGCCCGGCGGCCAACCGTAGTGACCTCTGTAAAGATCCTCTTGCCAACTAGGCAAAGGATCAGAGGGAGTGTTCTCGGATTGAGAGTACAGAGGGGCGGGGTGATCAGGATGTGCATAGGGGTACGCAGGGTCCCCTCTAAAGTCACACCCGCCGGGCACACGATAATCGTACTGCCCGTCCTCTGGGAAGCTGCGGAGCTCCCTACTAGGCTCGGAAGGACCTTGCCAGTAGGGGTAAGTGGGGAGATTGTCCCCCCCCCCAAGAAGGAACAGGGCCGTGCTGAGGCGGCCAATTGGGGTAGTTCACGGGGGGGGCAATCTCTCCTCTATCCACAGCGGAGTCATAGAGGGCCTGCTGCTGCAGATGGTGGCCTTGCTGTGACTCATAAATTGCCTGCAATGCTGCTGCTCCTCCTCCTGAACCTCCTCCTCATTACCCATTCAAACCTCATCGTCCCCATCGACATCGGGCACTCGCCCGCTATCTCTCAAAACTCTCCACACATTAGGGGACTGACGCGTGAGAGAAGTGAAGTGAGGCTTGGGGAGGAAACAATGGTGGGCTCCTCTAACTAGCCACCTAAAAGCATTGGGGTTCGCCGTGGGGGTAATAAAATCAGAACGGCGAAGCTGGTCCAAATCAAGGTAAATATCCCCACTACTACCTACGGCCGTGCATAGAGGTAGAAGGTCAGTGTAACCTAATTTGGTGGCCAGTCTAGTGACCATCGCCCCGCAGTGTATCTCCCCTGGCTTTTTCCCCTTTGCTATGGCTTGGGAGGTTTGCATGAAGAGGAAACCCAAATTCAACCTCCGAGCATGCTCTGCCTTTGTGGCTATCCATAGGCAAAGGACCTCTTCCTTAGTCAGCTTCCCTAGGTCCTGCTTAGGAATGATAGAATACCCTAATAAACGGTGTAGGATCCTAAGGGCAGGTTGCCAAATCTCACTGGCTATGGAAGTCCGGGTGTAAAACTCATTTTTGCCTGAAATGGAACGCCACCAAGCGTACTCACTATACTCCCCAAAGCTCTCATATAGAGGGTAGTGAATGTCGGCATCGGGGTGAAGGTCGAGGGCTCGGTTGAACTCTGCCAATGACATGGTGTGGGGGTTGTTGAAGAGTTGGAAAGAAATTCGAAAGTCGTCATTTTCTAGACTATCCACTTGAAAAGACGAGAAAAACTCTAATGTGGGTTCTTTGTAGGTCATGAATGAGGAGTTTATGAATGACCCTAATCGAAGGTTGTCAAAAAGAATCCACAAATCATCATTAATACCGAGTTTTATCATGTCTCCACGATGGTAGTGTCTAGAAGGTCGCAACTTACGTTTTTGCATTTCCGAGTGTATGGAGGAGTGGCTTTTGTGTAAAAATTTTAGGGTGGGTAAGGCATTGGGTTGGTCTGACTCTTGGTTTTGGGACGATTGTCCCGACTTTGCAGTTTTTCTCTTCTTCCCAATTCTTAGACTCATGACTGCCCACCTCTTTTTTTTTTTTTTTTTTTTTTTTCACTCCTTTTCAAAGCCAACTCCGGCTATTTCCACCCTTAACCTCCACAAAACTACAATGTACCTGTTCACAAGCAATAATAATCCAACCACGCAACGAATATAGCCTAAGATACTAATCAACAACAACAAGTTCAACAGAATCCAGCAATAATTTCAACAATAATCAACCAAATTTCGCTAATAACCTAAGATAATCAAAATCCTTACTTAAAATTAATCCAAGAGAATAATTAACTAAGGAGATCGAATACCTTTACCTTTATGCGGAAGATTGCTGTTTTGGTGTCGATTTGGTGAAGGATTTGAGTAGGAAGGGGGGGGGGGGGGTTCGTTGCGGTTGTGCCCTTGATGCCCAATTGCTACCTTTGAAGATGAACAAACGGAGAGGATGATTGATTGAAGCTTGAGGATGATTGATGTGGTTTATATTTTGAGAATGATTGATTTATGAAGGTGGAAGAAGATGATCTTGGCTATGGTGGTGAGGAGCGGCCGCGAAGAGAGAGAAAGGCAAAGAGGGTTTGGTTTATGTTTGTGAGGATTTGGAAATTGCGGGAATATAAGAAGCCACCGTATTTTTTTTTTTTTTCTGATATCCAGAAAGGCGCGCCCGCTCCCGATTAAGGCGCGCCCGCTCCTTATAGAAAACGCGAGCCGCTCCTATATCGCGCCTAAATCGCTCCAACTTCCTGGAAATCAGTAAAACTACAGCGCGCCCGCGCTAATAATAGACGCGCCCGCGCCTTCTTTAAAACGCGAGCCGCTCTGCAATCGCGGCCAAATCGCTCCTGCCTCCTGGAATGGAAGTAATTTTCAAGCGTATACCAGGCGCGCCCGCGAAGAAACCAGGCGCGCCCGCACCTTACTGCTCATCGCGGGCCGCGCTTTCAGCCGCGATAAAAATCGCTCCAACTCCCTGGAATTGGAGAATTTACATTCACAAAAACGGCGCGCCCGCGATGAAACCAGGCGCGCCCGCGCCTTACTGCTGTTGCGGATCGCGCTTCAGCCGCGATAAAATCGCTCCAACTCCCTGGAATTGGAGAATTTACATTCACAAAAACGGCGCGCCGCATGAAACCAGGCGCGCCCGCGCCTTACTGCTGTTGCGGATCGCGCTTCAGCCGCGATAAAATCGCTCCAACTCCCTGGAATTGGAGAAATTTTCATTCATAAAAATTGCGCGCCCGCGACGAAACCAGGTGCGCCCGCGCTTTAATGCTGCCGCGGATCGCGCTACAGCCGCGTTCAAATCGCGCTGAGGTTCTGTTTCTTTAGAATTCATCCGAGCACAAATTTAAAAATTCCTCTCTTTTTTAATTTTTCTGCTTTGCTCTTGCCTTTCTTTCCTCGTGGACACACGCAATCACGCCTGCATCAGAATTGATTGGGAAGAGCGTTAGGTGGATTAGTTCAAGCGATTTGAAAGAAAATAAAATCAAAGAGGTTAGAAACCGGGTTGCCTCCCGTAAGCGCTTCTTTAACGTCACTAGCTTGACGTACTTCACACGGAATCATGGTGATTTGGAAACATCAATGAGAGATAAATTTTCTGGCTTCTCAATTAGCTGACCCTCATAGTATGGCTTGAGACGCTGCCCATTCACTTTGAATGGAGGGTACTTGTCATTGAAAATCTCAACCGAGCCATAAGGAAAGGTTTTGGACACTTGAAATGGACCGCTCCATCTAGATCTCAATTTCCCGGGGAAGAGCTTGAGTCTTGAATTGTAGAGCAGGACCTTTTGTCCTTCCACAAATTCCTTCTTGGAAATTCGAGCATCGTGCCATGCCTTGGTTCTTGCTTTGTAGAGGCTTGCACTGTCATATGCATTCATTCTCAGCTCTTCCAACTCATGAAGCTCTAGAAGCCTTTGCTCACCCGCACTGTGGAGATCAAAGTTGATTTGCTTGATTGCCCAATGCGTTCGGTGCTCCATCTCTACGGGTAAATGGCAATGCTTCCCATAAACAAGCTTATAGGGGGTAGTCCCTATAGGAGTCTTGAAGGCGGTCCTATATGCCCACAATGAATCAATGAGCTTACTGGACCAATCCTTCCTTGTTCTAGCAACAGTCTTCTCTAAGATGACTTTTAACTCCCTATTTGTGACCTCCGCTTGACCACTTGTTTGGGGGTGGTAAGCAAGGCCTCGCTTGTGAGATACACCGTACTTTGAAAGAAGCTTGTTGAATGCATGGTGCTTGAAGTGTGAGCCTCCATCACTTATGATAGCCTTAGGAACACCGAATCTTGGGAAGATGACTTTCTTGAACAAATTGATGACCACCCTTGAGTCGTTGGTGGGAGATGCCACGGCTTCCGCCCATTTGGAGACATAATCAACGGCAACTAGAATGTGCCGGTTTCCTTGGGATGAGATGAAAGGGCCCATGAAGTTAATTGCCCAAACATCAAAGATTTCAAGTTCAAGAATAGGATTTTGGGGCATCTCATCGCGCCGTGATATGTTCCCTGTCCTTTGGCACCTATCACAAGTCTTAACAAATTGCCAAGCATCTTTGAATAGAGACGGCCAAAAGAGCATACATTGCAAAACCTTGGAAGCGGTCTTTTGAGCACTCATATGACCACCACAAGGGGATGAGTGGCACATTGAGAGCACATCTTGGAATTCTACATTAGGAACACATCTTCTCAAGAGTCCATCCACCCCTCTCTTCAACAACATGGGGTCATCCCATATATACTTCTTTGCTTCATGCTTGAGCTTTCTATGTTGTTGAGGAGTGAAATCCGGAGGTATGGCACTACAAGCCAAGTAGTTCACAATATCCGCATACCAAGGCTCCGATTTTGCCTCAAGAGCATATAAGACATCATCCATTAGGGCATCTTCAATTGGCAAATCGTCTTCATGTATTCTTGCAGCTCCTAACCTAGAGAGGTGGTCCGCCACCACGTTCTCGGCTCCCTTCTTATCTCTCATTTCGTAATCAAAATCTTGAAGGACCAACACCCATCTCAACAACCTCGGTTTGGCCTCCTTCTTACTTATCAAATATTTGAGAGCCGAGTGATCGGTATACACTATTGTCCTAGAACCAATGAGGTAGGTTCTAAACTTCTCAAATGAGTGGATAACCGCCAAAAACTCTTTTTCGGTAGTTGTATAATTTCGTTGGGCATCATTGAGAGTCTTGGACAAATAGTATATAACGTGAAGTTTCCCATCCTTTCTTTGTCCCAGAACTGATCCAATGGCCCCGTCGCTTGCATCGCACATTAGCTCGAATGGTAGAGACCAATCCGGTCCTCGGACTACGGGGGCGGTGCAAAGGGCCTTTTTCAACCTGCAAAATGACTCATGACAAGCTTCATCAAATACAAATTCTTTATCCTGTTGCAAGAGAGATGTGAGAGGCTTAGCAATCAAAGAGAAATCTTTGATGAAGCGGCGGTAAAAGCCGGCATGACCAAGGAAGGACCTCACTTCTCTCACATTTGTGGGAGGAGGAAGCTTCTCGATCACATCAACCTTCGCACCATCGACTTCGATGCCCGCTTGGGAGATTTTATGGCCAAGAACAATGTCGTTTTCCACCATGAAGTGGCATTTCTCCCAATTGAGCACCAAGTTGGCACTCTCACACCTTTCTAAACAACGAGATAAATTCATTAGGCACTGCTCATACGTGCCTCCACCAACGGAAAAATCATCCATAAAAACTTCCATTTCTTCCTCGATCATTTCACTAAAAATTGACATCATGCATCTTTGGAAGGTGGCCGGGGCATTACAAAGACCAAAAGGCATCCTACGGTAAGCAAAAGTTCCGTAGGGACAAGTGAAAGTGGTCTTTTCTTGATCTTTTGGGTCAATTGGGATTTGGAAGAATCCCGAATAACCATCAAGAAAGCAATAAAAAGCATGCTTTGTAAGCCTCTCAAGCATTTGATCGATGAACGGTAATGGAAAATGGTCTTTGGAAGTGTTGGCATTTAATTGGCGGTAATCAATACACATGCGCCAACCCGTAACAAGCCGAGTTGGGACCAATTGTTGCTTATCATTGATCATTACCGTCATACCTCCCTTTTTCGGCACTACTTGAACCGGGGATACCCAATCACTATGAGCGATTGGATAGATGATCCCTGCTTCAAGTAGCTTGGAAACTTCCTTTCTCACAACCTCTTGCATGGAAGGATTAAGTTTCCTTTGCCGTTGCCTACACGGCTTAGCACCCTCCTCTAAATCGATCTTATGCATGCATAGGGAGGGGCTTATACCTTTGAGATCATCAAGAGTATAACCCAAAGCCTTCCTATGCATTTTCAAAACATTAAGCAATGAGGAGGTTTGCTCTTCCGTGAGGTTAGCATTGATAATGACCGGAAAAGTATCATTAACATCCAAAAAGACATACCTCAAGCCCGAAGGTAGAGGTTTCAATTCTACCTTCGGAGCTACCTTACCATTGGAGATTTCCTCCTCTTCTACTTGGAAGACTTCATACGGTTGGGGCATCTCTTGGTCGGGGGTTGTCTCTTCTTTCTTATCAAGCATTTCCTCATATAATTGCATCTCCTTTTGATCACCTACCTCATTCTCATTCAACAAAACATTCTCAAGTAGATCATTAGAAGCATGCATATAAGGGTATCTAAACTCATTCATCAAGTTTTCAATTGTATCTATTCTAAAACATTCATTGTCAGAGGAAGGTTGTCTCATCACCTTATTCAAATCAAATTCGATAGAATCATTGTCAACCTTCAAGGTCATCTTGCCTTCTTTGACATCAATAATTGCTTTAGAGGTAGCTAGGAATGGCCTACCCAAGATTATAGGAATTCTTTCATCTTCATCCATTTCAAGAACATAAAAGTCCACCGGAAAAGTGAACTTACCGACTCTAAGGGGTATGTCCTCTACTTTCCCTATAGGCAATTTTGTGGACCTATCTGCTAATTGGAGGGTGATGTTTGTAGGTGAAAGGTTTCCCACATTAAGCTTTTGGTAGACCGAGAAAGGCATTAAACTCACACTAGCACCTAGGTCACACAAAGCTTTCCCCAAATGAACTTCATTGATAGAACAAGGGATGGAAAAACTACCGGGATCTTGCAATTTAGTTGGTAGCTTACTGGAGAGAATAGCACTACAATTTGCGGTTAAGCTAACGGTTTCAACTTCTCTCCTTCCATTCAGGAGGTCTTTTAGGAATTTAGAGTAGTGTGGCATCTCTTTCATAGCATCCACAAAGGGTATAGAAACATGCAAGCTCTTTACTACATCTAAAAATTTTCCAAATTGGACATCAAGCCTAGACCTAGCAAATCTTTGGGGAAAAGGCAACCTCTCATTCCTAGGTTGGAGATTAAGGGGTAAAGATGTTTGATCTTTGGTGCTCTCCTTTTCGAGTTCCTTCTCTTTCTCTTTCTCACCCCTCTCATTCTTTCCGGCACTTCCCTCTAGAATCTCATTCTCTCTTGATGATTCATCCTCAACCTCAAGTCCTATCCTCACATCGGGACTCTTCTCAACATTTAGTTCACTCTCAAGGATCTTCCCATTCTAGTAGTAATGGCATACATAGACTTGGGGTTGACACCTTGACTAGGTAAAGAAGAAGATGAAGAAGGGGAGGATGAAGAACTTGGTTGGGCAATTTGAGAGATTTGGGTCTCAAGCATTTTCATGTGTGCCTTGATTTGTTTCTTTTCTTCCTCTTGACTCTTATTATGGTTTTCTTGATTTTTAATGAAATTTTGAAGCATAGCCATCATAGGATCAGGAGGGGCTTCTATTTGGAGGGGTTGAGTAGGGGGAATTTGAGAATGGGGCCTTACTTGGTCAAAACCGGGGGGTCTACTATTTTGTGAGAAAGTAGAAGCATTTTGAGGTCTATTACCCCCGGAACCCTGATTGGAATTAAAACGTTGTTGGTTGTTGGAATAGTGTTGTTGGTTTTGATTCCAATTGGGTCTTTGGTTTGAGTAACTTCTTCCATTGTAATTGGAAGAGTTTCCCCTACCTTGGCCTTGGTTATCATAACCACTACCACTTTGATTCCATTGACTTTGATTCCAACCTTGGTTTTGATTCCAACTACGGTTTGGGTTTTGATTCCAATTTGGTCGCATTCCATTATTTCCCTCACGGGGCACAAAATTCATGGCATTAACATCTTCAACATTATCATCATTTTCATGGGGAGGGGGACCTTCACTTATGGACATACATTGTTGAGAATTATGATCATAGCCTCCACATATATCACAAAACATACAACCAGGAGGCATGGCATTGTAATTAGAGGGAGAAGAAGTAGAAGGATTCATACCATGGCCTCCCTTGGGAGAAGGGGAGGAAGCATTTTGGGAACTTGATTTCATGAACTCCTCCATTTGTTTCGCCATCTTTGCCATTTGGTTGGAAAGATTTGTGATGGCATTGGTTTGCTCGACGGAATGTACCGTTCCTTTGCTAGAAGTGGCTTCCCTCTCACCTTCGTACCAATCCTCATAATTGCGCACAACTTCTTCTATGATACTCTCCACTTCATCTTCCCTTTTGTTCATGATTGGGCCTCCGGCTCCGGCATCAAGGCTAGTCTTACTTTGAGGGGAGAGTCCTCCGTAGAATGTTTGGAGAACTTGCCAATTAGGAATCCCATGGTGTGGGCATTGCCTTTGTAATTCTTTGAATCTCTCCCATGCCTCACAAAGAGACTCTCCACCTCTTTGGCGGAAACTTTGAATCTTTGAGCGAGCCTCGGCGGTTTTCTTGTGATTGTAAAACCTTCCTAGGAACGCCGTAGTTACCTCATTCCAAGTCGTGAAGGAACCGGGAGGAACATCCTTGTTCAACCAATGTTCCGCCGCTCCCATGAGTGAGAACGGAAACATCTTCAATCTTATGTACTCTTGGGACACCCCGTTGATCTTGATAGTGTCACAATACTTGAGAAATTCTTTGAGATGCTCATGGGGATTCTCAAATTTCCCACCGGTAAATTGCCTCTTCTCTATCATTGAAATGAAATTAGGCTTTATCTCGAAATTGTTCGCTTGAGTGGTGGGGGCTAAGATCCCACTTTGTGAGGCATAAGGTTCGGGTGCTCCAAGTTGCTTTAGTGACCTTTGATCACCCATGCTTTGTTGATTATGGTATTGGGCAAATGGGTTGGGAGTTAAACCTGCAAATGATTCACGATCCTCACTAGAAGAGGGTGAAGGAGTAGGAGAGCTACTAACTTCCTCTTGGAAAGGGTTTTCCACACTATCCCTAATTTCCCTCCTCAATTGAGCAAGGGTGCGCTCCAGCTCTGGGTCTATGGGCGCCAAAGGACTAGAACTTCGTTGCCTCCTGCGCATATACAAAGCTAAGTAGAAAGTGAGCACTGACAAGCAAGGAGTAGTAGGAAAATTAAACAAGTGAACTAGTCTCAACGAAGGGATAAACGTACAATGGAAACCGTCTCCCCGGCAACGGCGCCAATTTGACAGGCGGTATTTTAGGTCGTCACTAAGACACCTCTATCAAATGATATTTGTAGTCCTAAACATGCAACTAAAAGAGTATAGAGGCAAGTTAAGGGTCGAACACAGGGAAACGATTAAGCACCGCTATTTATCTCCTAATGTTAATCTAATTCGATCAAGAAGTGTGGTGGGTAAAGTAATGACTAAAGGGGATAGAACAACAATTAAAATAGGTACTAGGGGGAAGGATCAAACATGCTTTGATTTCAACGAAGTTAGGCATCGGAAAATAGGTTTACATGTAACCCAAGCGACTCATACAAGGCAATATCAAGAATACTCTCTAATCACCTATCGGGATTAAGAGCCTTCCTAGCTAACATACGCTCACACTATCGTCGTAAGGCATACAAGCTAAGGTCATGCAATAATCAATCACCTAATGACTATTCCTAAATCGCACTATCGTCACGATTTAGTTCACGTCATTCAACCACAACATGCATATGGCCATAAACATGGAGTGACTAATAAGTATAAGCACAAGGAAGATTTAATCACAAATATTCCAAATTAACCTAGCCTAACATACATCAAACTCAAAGTATATCTTCACCAAACCCCTAGCAACAAGAAACTACTCACTAGTCATAACTACAACTACAATCATGCTAAGCAACATTATAACCAATGAAATGGTAAGAAAGACAAAGTTTTTATCAACTAAATTAACAAGAGTAGAAGCTTTAATCATAAAAGCAAGAGACAATAGAGAAATATACCAAAACCTTCATTGAAATCCAAATAAAGAGCCACACATCATTCAATCTTCAATCTCCAAGCTTGACCATACATCAATGTTGCAAAATTACTTCTTCAAAAACTAAAAGTAAAACTAATGTTGATAGACAATGAGAATTACACTAAAAGCTATATGATTGTTCAATACAAAATTTTTCTAAAAAACAAAGACCTAGAAATTGATATTTTTGAGCTCTCTCCTTGGGTTTCTATGCTAGTTTTTTTTTTATCTTTTCCTCCCCCCCCCCCTTAGCCGTTTTTGCTTTTTCTTTCTTTTAACTTGGGCTGAAATCGGGATTTGAATCAGCAGCAGAGAGGCGCGCCCGCGCCCAACAGTGGCGCGCCCGCGCGTTAAATGATGGCGCGGCCGCTCCTAGAAATGCGCGCCCGCTCCAAAGAGGGTATTTAATGGTTGATCCCGCTCATCAGCGCGCCCGCGCTCTATAGATGCGCGCCCGCTCCTTTGGTTGCGCGCCCGCGCCATTCGTCTGGTTTGGATTTCTTCCTGTTTTGCCCTTATCCCTTCCATCTCTGAATTAACAGCATACGCCTGCAATCATGGAACAGGAAGGCAAGGCGTGATACAACGAAAGGGGAGGGGAGTATAGACTACCTAAACCACATGAATACACATTACGCGCCACAAAGGTAGAATACTCGAAATAGGAGGATCATAGCAAAAACATACTAAAATGAACTGAATTATTACTAAAACTACTAGAAAAGACTATCCTAAGAGCGACATAAATGTCACTCATCATAGACCTCATTTGATTCAAATAACTTTGTTTGAATGTGTTTGACATTCATATGTTTCAATAAGCTTTGTAGAATGTATTTGACTTTCATTTTATTCAAATAGCTTTGTTTGAATATGTTTGACTTTCATTTGATTCAATTAGCTTTGTAGAATGTATTTGACTTTCATTTGATTAAATTAGCTTTGTTTGAATGTGTTTGACTTTCATTTGATTCAAATAGCTTTGTTTGAATGTGTTTGACTTTCATTTGATTCAATTAGCTTCATTGAATATATTTGACTTTCATTTGATTCAATTAGCTTTGTTTGAATGCGTTTGACATTCATTTGATTCTATTAGCTTTGTAGAATGTATTTGACTTTTATTTGATTCCAATAGCTTTGTTTAAATGTGTTTTACTGTCATTTGATTCAATTAGCTTAGTAGAATGTATTTGACTTTTATTTGATTTAATTTGCTTTGTTTGAATGTATTTGACTCTCATTTGATTCAAATAGATTTGTAGAATGTATTTGACTTTCATTTGATTCAAATAGCTTTGTAGAATGTAATTGACTTTTATTTGATTCAAATAGCATTGTTTGAATGTGTTTGAGTTTCATTTGATTCAATTAGCTTTGTAGAATGTATTTGACTTTCATTTGATTCAAATAGCTTTGTTTGAATGTGATTGAATTTCATTTGATTCAATTTGCTTTTTAGATTGCATTTCACTTTCATTTGATTTATATAGCTTTGTTTGAATGTGTTTGACTTTCATTTAAATTAAAAAGCTTTTTTTGAATGTGTTTGACTTTTATTTGATTTAAAAGGCTTTGTTTGAATGTGTTTGACTTTTATTTGATTCAATTAGCTTTGTAGAATGTATTTGACTTTCATTTTATTCAAAGAGCTTTGTTTGAATGTGTTTGAATTTCATTTGATTCAATTTGCTTTGTAGAATGCATTTCACTTTCATTTGATTTATATAGCTTTGTTTTAATGTGTTTGACTTTCATTTAAATTAAAACGCTTTTTTTTAACGTGTTTGACATTCATTTGATTTAAAAGGCTTTGTTTGAATGTGTTTGACTTTCATACTATTGAATTAGCTTTGTAGAATGTATATGACTCTCATTTGATTCAAATAGCTTTGTTTGAATATGTTTGACTTTCATTTGATTCAATTAGCTTTGTAGAATGTATATGACTTTTATTTCATTCAAATAGCTTTGTTTGAATGTGTTTAACTATCATTTGATTCAGTTAGCTTTGTTGAATGTATTCGACTCTTATTTGATTTAATTTGCATTGTTTGAATGTATTTGACTCTCATTTGATTCAAATAGCTTTGTAGAATGTATATGACTTTTATTTGATTCAAATAGCTTTGTAGAATGTATTTGACTTTCATTTGATTCAAATAGCTTTGTTTGAATGTTATTGACTTTCATTTGATTCAATAGGCTTTGTAGAATGTATTTGACTTTCATATGTTTCAATTAGCTTTGTTTGAAAGTGTTTGACTTTCATTTGATTCATTTAGCTTTGCTTGAATGTGTTTGACTTTCATTTAATTCAATTAGCTTTGTAGCATGTATTTAACTTTCAGGAATCAAATAACTTTGTTTGAATGTGTTTAACTTTCATTTGATTCAATTAGCTTTGTAGAATGTATTTGACTTTCATTTGATTCAAAAAGCTTTGTTTGAATGTGTTTGACTTTCATTTGATTCAATTAGCTTTGTAGAATGTATTTTTCTTTTATTTGATTAAATTAGCTTTGTTTGAATGTATTTGACTCTCATTTGATTCAAATAGCTTTGTTTGAATGTGTTTGACTTTTGTTTGATTCAATTAGCTTTGTAGAATGTAATAGAACTCATTTGTTTCAAATAACTTTGTTTGAATGTGTTTGACATTCATTTGTTTCAATAAGCTTTGAAGAATGTATTTGACTTTCATTTTATTCAAATAGCTTTGTTTGAATATGTTTGACTTTCATTTGATTCAATTAGCTTTGTAGAATGTATTTGACTTTCATTTGATTAAATTAGCTTTGTTTGAATGTGTTTGACTTTCATTTGATTCAAATAGCTTTGTTGAATGTATTCGACTCTTATTTGATTTAATTTGCATTGTTTGAATGTATTTGACTCTCATTTGATTCAAATAGCTTTGTAGAATGTATATGACTTTTATTTGATTCAAATAGCTTTGTAGAATGTATTTGACTTTCATTTGATTCAAATAGCTTTGTTTGAATGTTATTGACTTTCATTTAATTCAATAGGCTTTGTAGAAAGTATTTGACTTTCATATGATTCAATTAGCTTTGTTTGAAAGTGTTTGACTTTCATTTGATTCATTTAGCTTTGCTTGAATGTGTTTGACTTTCATTTAATTCAATTAGCTTTGTAGCATGTATTTAACTTTCATTTGAATCAAATAACTTTGTTTGAATGTGTTTAACTTTCATTTGATTCAAATAGCTTTTTTTGAATGTGTTTGACTTTTATTTGATTTAAAAGGCTTTGTTTGAATGTGTTTGACTTTTATTTGATTCAATTAGCTTTGTAGAATGTATTTGACTTTCATTTTATTCAAAGAGCTTTGTTTGAATGTGTTTGAATTTCATTTGATTCAATTTGCTTTTTAGATTGCATTTAACTTTCATTTGATTTATATAGCTTTGTTTGAATGTGTTTGACTTTCATTTAAATTAAAAAGCTTTTTTTGAATGTGTTTGACTTTTATTTGATTTAAAAGGCTTTGTTTGAATGTGTTTGACTTTTATTTGATTCAATTAGCTTTGTAGAATGTATTTGACTTTCATTTTATTCAAAGAGCTTTGTTTGAATGTGTTTGAATTTCATTTGATTCAATTTGCTTTGTAGAATGCATTTCATTTTCATTTGATTTATATAGCTTTGTTTTAATGTGTTTGACTTTCATTTAAATTAAAAAGCTTTTTTTTAACGTGTTTGACATTCATTTGATTTAAAAGGCTTTGTTTGAATGTGTTTGACTTTCATATTATTGAATTAGCTTTGTAGAATGTATATGACTCTCATTTGATTCAAATAGCTTTGTTTGAATATGTTTGACTTTCATTTGATTCAATTAGCTTTGTAGAATGTATATAACTTTTATTTCATTCAAATAGCTTTGTTTGAATGTGTTTAACTATCATTTGATTCAGTTAGCTTTGTTGAATGTATTCGACTCTTATTTGATTTAATTTGCATTGTTTGAATGTATTTAACTCTCATTTGATTCAAATAGCTTTTTAGAATGTATATGACTTTTATTTGATTCAAATAGCTTTGTAGAATGTATTTGACTTTTATT